TTTCAATCCCCTTGACCCCCATTTTATTCAGATTTTTTAAAATCAATAGGCTTTGTTATTAATTATTATACCTATAATCAAGTATTGCGAGTTGCTGCCAACATAGGTGAATATCAAGTACGCATGGATAGTCAATTTGAAATAGTCAGTGAAAATAGTCGATTTATTCTAATGATAAAGTAAATTGGATGTGATTGGTTAAAATGTCAGAGTTGACTGGCGAGGAAAATATTCAAATACGGTATGGTTCAAATGAAAAGAATACATTTATTATCATGGAAGTAGTTGGTTTTACGAAAAAATGCTCGGACAGGTCAATTTTGTTTACTAAAAGATTTTTCAAAAAGAATTCAAGTTTCCCCCACTTCCCATTTTTGGGTAGTGACGTCATTGACAATTTTTTTAAATAGTAACCCCTATTTTTTTTTCTTGATTTTGATAGATCTTGCAATTTGCCTACTCGGAACCATAATAGAGAGATATTGCAAATTTCTATAACGTCAGCCACTAATATTTCTAACTTCATTAAGAATTTTAAATTACAGCTTTTGATTTAAATCTTAAGTTATTTATGTACTAAATATGATATAATTTGGTACAAAAGAAAATAGGTCCTTCATTTTAAGACTGATTTAAAAACGAATGAAAAAGAAATGTATGTAGGTTAAAAATGCTTTACCACTGAAAGAGAAATATGTATTTTCACCTAGCTTCTTTCAGTTTATGGGATTTTAAGGTTATAATTATAAAATCGTTTATCTCTCTTTACCATTATATTTTTCAGAGTTATATTATTTATGTAATATAATAAACTCATTTTGCCTAAAAATGTGGCTTAGCTCTTTTCACCACCAATACGACGATATTTAATATTAAAAAATTTCAAACTGGTACGAATGTCGGCGAGCGCACCCGAATGCTATAAAGTCGCCACTATCTGCTGCCCTTAAATATGCACAATCTTTAATAAAGTCAGTTCTAGAACGTAAACGATCTGCGCATGTACAGATGTCAAAATAAGAGAGGCGCTAATAGTGATCTCTCTACTATTTGAAATATCTTACATAACAATTTTTTAAAAAAAAGTAATTTAAAGATGAGATACATTAATTTTATTTTGAGAACACAATAAATGAATGAAAGATAAATATTTGTAATTAAGTGCTTAATCTAACAAAATAATAATAAAATAGAATTTAATGACAATTTCACAGCAAAATAATTCAAAAATATTCTACTAAATTAGGTGTTCAAAATGTCCTCCAGCGACGTCTTGCCTCTGTATGGTGTTAATGAAAGGAATAAATTCATTATTTCGTAAACTACTGATTTTCGGGAAAAATCCTAAAACCCGCCGATTTTTATTTTTGAATGGGCGCTTCGTCAGGATACTTTTTTATTTTTGACGACATCGATGTGAGAGTGATGACGTCATCAATAAAAATTTTAAATGGAAATGTGTGTGTTGTGTTGAAAGGTCTTTTAAATATCTATTCAGCCATATCAATTGTCTAAGTAATTAAGTTTTGTATATTGTCAAAAAAATATTTCTTTATTATTTTTAAATCTTATCTGCTTTTTACTTTTTCTAAAACGAATCTAGTTACCTTATCAAAATTGCTACCTTGACATTCAACTTAATTTGCTTTGTATCAAGTGGTTAATAAATAGTATTGTGGTGGACGTTTTCAAAAAGTCTTTGTATTTATTAACATGAAGCTGACTGAAACGCAAAGAATTGAAGTTTTGAAGTTTTAATAATAATTGGTTGTGAAGATAAAACACGTACGCAGAAAGATGTATGTACGTTATTTAATAATAAACATCCAAACCGAGAACCAATTTCACAATCCACTGTGAGTAAAATTGGGAAAAAGTTCAGAGAAACGGGTGATCACTAAAGGTAGTAAAACACCCAATTTCCGAAAACAACAAATTGGATGTTCTGTTAGCCTTTGAAGATAATCCCCATACCAGTTCACAGCAAGTAGCATTAAATAATGATCTCGGAAATTCAACAGTTCTTAGAACGCTAAAAAAAAGCAAAAGTGGCATCCCTAAAAAGTTACTTCAGTACAAGAACTTATGGAAGATGATTTTGATAAATGAGTTGAATTCTGCTAAAGCTCTTGGACTCTATTCAAATTATGAATGACAAAATTATGTTTCGACAAATTGATATCAAAAACACTCAAAATTTAGAAACAATAAAAACAATCGACTATTTATTAAGGTCTCGTTATATTACCCTTGATTAATGTGTATATTTTTAATATTTCCGAATGCGTCTAATCTTACAAGATTAATCAGCATTTTTATAACAACCTAATTTTCTGAAGTATTTTTAAATCTAGATTTCATGTGTTCAAAACTAGGTACTAACATGTTCTGCACACTTCGATATTGTGGCTCATAGCGCCAATTCTTTTTATCACGATCACTTCATTTAAACAAACTCAAAAGGTTTGACTCTTAAGTCTACGAACTAGGTCCTGAGTCTTGTGTAAATGTGCAAACTTTCTTTGGAATTACTTTATTCGTTATCGTTTAAAATGAAAAATAAATCAATCAGGTGTATTTACAAGTCAAGTCCGATCTCAAATAATCAATTAAATAATTGGCCTGTATTCTGTATAGTCTGTATAATTTGATACTCCATTTTTAGTGGCCGCGGAAAAACGTTGTCATGTTTTGAAAATGTGGACAATATCGGAAAAACATCATTATCATTGTAAAGAGCCAGTTATTTATACAGTAGCATTATTATACACATTTTCGTATCATTGAGGAAGAAGAATTAGTCAAAACAGTTTAATTCCATACTTTTTTAATAAAACAAGATTTCCATAAAATTTAGAGCTTGATTGATTTAATATTATTTATTTGGGGTTTTCTACATTTTGCATTAACGTGTGTGATGTGTCTAGATAAAAAATGTACACTTATGCATAGTAGGTATTCGTTGTCTATTGCACAATGACCTTGAATTTTGGTAAAATACTAGTTTGAAACTATAAAATGGTATTGACCTAGGTAAATAATGATTAAAAAATAATATTCTAGGAAGACGATAAATTAACAATAGAAAATTGTTGTTTAATTTCTTGAGTCATCCAGCTCTTTTTAAATTTTGTTAATCTTGTCTGTAATAATGAATAAAAATAATGATCTGTCTAGAACAGTCATTAATTTTTTTCTGATTTAAGACCTCTTTGACACGATTTCATCCCCAAAATTATAAATAAATGTAATAAAATATAGTTAAAAACTAAACTTCTAGTTCAACAATGCTAATTGATAGTAGGTATGTACTTTAAGTACCTAATTACAGCCTTTTTGTTTGGGATTTATATAGAAAATGGGATTGAAACACATTGGCGGCGGAATAACTTTTCTTGGGAGGGGGCTTGAGCCCCTTTTAAAAATGCACTCTTCTTTATGCATAGTAATTAAATTAAAACAAATTCGAGAGACGCTAAAATGGTGGTTCCCACCTTATCCAGACTGAGGCCCACAAGGCTAAATTCGTAGCGTAACAAAAACGAGAAATGATTTAACTTGGAACGAAAGACCGAAAGCCGATAGTAGTATTAGGACGGTGAATTTTTTGGTTTGTGAAGCATTGACATTAGGTTAAACCATGTGATGATTTCCATAAGCCTTGATTTTTAAAACCATTCTATATCGCCTTTTGATTAGGGTTTATAAACTTGTTTGAGCAATTTATCCAATAATAATTGGCCCCTTTACCTCTTAAGCCTGCTCATGTAAAATATTTGGGCTCCTTGCTTCGCCTGTTTATATAATATTAATAAAGGACAGAAGGATGAGTATTGCAACTATCTTAAAAGAAATAAATTGGCTTTCAGTTCAGAATTATGTTCAGTACATGGCTGATATTTATTTATAAAATAAAAATGACATAGTACCATCGTATCAGATCTATTAGAAAAAATTCCATATAATTCGAAATATCACAACTAAAATACAAGAAGCCAACCTGACTTTCATGTATGGCAAGCCATCACTAAAAGTTCCCAAAATACAATTTTTATTAAAGATTTAAAAAATTTAATAGACTGCCTAAAGAAATTGAAAAAAAAAATAATAAATGTATTCAAAAGTAACCTCAAACAATACTTGATAAATAAACAGAACGGATATACTTTCTTGTGATAATACTCTTTAAACCTGCCCTTTTTAAGT